TGATTCCGAATATAGGAGGTATCGTTATACGGGGGCTATCAGAAGAGGTGGTTTCCAATTTTTTAGCTAAAATCATCCAATAAGGAATATTGGGAGGTATCGTTATATGGGGTTTATCTCTGTGTGAATGTATTATCATTACGAACTCCAAATACCAAATTTGATACAATTCTGGTGAAAATGTGACACAACTCATCAAATTAGCGAATATACAGTTATATGGGGACCATACTAATTCTAGGCAAATATGTTTACTACATATAGGTAACATAAACTGAAAATGTACATCAAATTCTGTTCAAAACGTGACTTAAACAGCCAAAACACTTAAATCTGGTGGTAAATTTCATGGGGGCTATATCAAAATGTAGACCTATAAAGCCCATTTTCAATACCTAAAATATATCTCAAGAAATTGTATCAACCTACTTCATTTGTTCTGAAGATCGAGTGATTGCACAAACTTAACTTACTGAAGAGTATAAAAACAGCAGTAGTGCTTCCTTGATTCTTGTCCACATTGTTCTTAGACTGGCACATGTATTGTAGCTTGGAAGCTTTGAGTCATATTTTTATATGAGTTCGACTTAAGCCGCATCCGCCCAGTTGTGTAGATTTAAATTTATGAAGACCAGAAAGAAAATACCGCGCAGGAAAAATCTGAATATCAGGCCGAACGGCGTCTACTTAAAAAATATTCAATTTAGTCCGTGTTGGCCATATCTTAGAAGATAAAATAATAAGCCGCGCCCAAAGGGCCGCTACTTAAAAATATATTTAATTTAAATATAATTTGATTCGCGTAGCCGGTGTTGGACACATCAACCGTAAAAATATGTTGCACCAATTTTGAAATGTATTTCGGAAGCATTCAAATTAAGGAAATTAAGAATTATAATTTTCATAAAAATACTTACATATATGACAACATTTTAAAATTCGTGGATATTTTGTTTTAACAAATTATGGCATTTTCGGCAATATCTTTATGAAGACGCCTCCAAAGAATTTCTACGAAATTTGTTCACTTTTTAACAACACAGCCGTATTTCGTAATGAACACAACTACAGAACAAATGAACACAGCTAAATTGCTTTGTGTTCAGTTAGTATTGTGGCCGTTATAACTAGTTACTAGTTGGTTTTTGTTTGTCCTTCTTGACTTGATTAATACATTGTAACGTTGTAGCATCCAAACAAAAAAATGTATTTATATATATTAATTTCAAAACATAGTATACCACATGGTACAATAAAAAGGTAAGGCAGATACCAGCTGATTAAATTTTTTTCTAAGTGTGCCCGACTTCTGCCATTTTGTGTATGTATTTGTTTTTGAAAAATGAAAACAAATATTTTCAAGACCAATGATTGGAAGACAGGTACATTGCGGTTCGCGTATTAAGGATATCAACCAGTTGGCCATGAAATCGAAAGATTGAACAGTTTGAATCATATTTTTGAGAGAAAATCCAGACATTTAATTTTTTTTTCGCGCTATTAACTCATTTTAAAAATTAGGGAATATATGAAAAAAAATGAAAAAAAACTTGTATATAATTTTGAATGAATCTGACAGGAAGCGGGCATAGCCTCTGGGCTGTAATTCTGTAGTTTTACGAAGCTCTTCTACATCCTTATTGTACCATGGTATACCATAGGTTTTTGTGCATTTTGGTTTCAATTTGATAGAATGTTACCTCCCCCACCATTTCCTAGTGACTGCTTGAAATGTTTCACGATTTTTTTTCCTACAGCTAGCCACAATGCATTTAGGGAAATTTGGCAAGCTTTAACATTAAACATTTTAATAATTTTCATGCAGCATTTTCAATTGAATAATTCAAATTTCAAAAATGTAAATATCTGAAATTAAAATAATTTAATAAAAATTAATTTGTTTACATTCTTGGATACGTAACAGTGCGAATACCGTTACTTACATTCATTTCTTAATTGGGTTTTGAATTGTATTTGTTGTAGTTTTGTTTCTACCCTCTAAAATTATACCATGTTTTTTTCTACCATGCACTGGAAGATGGGAACTAAGAACAAAAAAATGAAACGGCTGAATTTAGTTCCGATAGTCCCAGTCATTGAACCGTTCCTCTGAACTATACTGCTCTTGTGTTTTTCATTCTGAAACTTTTCAACAACATTCCATTCCATCCAAAAAACAATGGATAAAGACTCGGATAGCACGGTCACATCGCTGGACGAGAACACCCGAGAATTTTTGCAGTAATCAAACGCGAGATATTCTAGCAGAAGGTTTTTAAATCATTTCAAACCTGTTGTGGAGAAATTGGATGAACGTATACAGGCTACAAGGCAGGCTCAACAAGAACTAAAGACACAATTGATAGTTTGTCAGCCCAATTGAGGGATATTGAGAAAGCTCAACATAATATTCCTGAGTTTTCCGATAAAGTTAAGGAATTGATAAACGTTAAACACAAAGTGACGGTCATTGCGAATATTCTTATCAGTAGTCAGGAGCGTTTGGCAGGTCTGCACAAACTAATAGAAAGGAGCAAAGGAGAACAAGCTCTCCTGGATTCAGCCATAAGTACAAATATTTCCTAGATAAAACTAAGGAAATCACAACACCACTAACCAAGCAATATTTAACGGAAACGACAAGAAATGGATACGCCACATATCGACCATTTAACTTCTCAGGATTATGATCATGTTTATGAACCGGCCGAAGATTCCTTTCTATTACTGGATGCACTGGAAGCAGATTTGGAGTTTATAGAAAATGAGCTGAAACCTGTGTTTTGCTTGGAAATAGGACCCGGAAGTGGTATAATAATAACAGCTATTGCCAAACGACTGCAAAACACAATATGCATGGCCTGTGATATAAACCCATACGCTTGTCGTGTTACAAAACGTACTTGCCTACGGAACGAAACCCATGTAGAATGTGTACGGGTAGTTTAACAGATGCCTTTAAACCAATGCATAGATCTATTGATCTTTAATCCGCCATATGTGGTGACAGCAGATAATGAACTTGAAACGTCTGATAAATTGGTGAATGTACAAGTGGTAATCTTGTACATTCTTGGGCTGGTGGTAAACATGGTAGACGAATTATAGATATTTTATTGCCGCAACTGGATCATATACTATCGGCGAAAGGAGTTTTCTACTTACTGCTGCTGCGTGAAAATAAACCTGACGAAATAATGGAACAATTGAGACAACTCGGATTTCAAAGTAAAAAATTATGGAGCGACGTATACCGGGAGAATTCCTGTATATTTTGAAAGTACAACGCTTGGATTCGTAGTGTAATGATAATTGTTTAAAACATCCAGTGCGTGATTTTTTGAAATAAAATTGTAAATTGATTAATATAAAATTTGGCTATTGTAACATGGCACAATAAAAGGTGTTAAAATAGCTAACTTTAAAAAGCAAGTTTTTCATTGGATTCGAAATAGAGTCCGCTGGACTTTTTATGAATTTAGGATATTTAAGTTAAAGTGTGCAAAGAAGTAATTTAACAGTTGATTTACTTACAGTTTGCAGATTCCATGGTAGAAGAATACTGGTAAATGCAACACGCTAGGACGCGTTGATCTGTCAAATATGTTTTGTCGAAAATAAGTAAATTTTTATATGTTCTCTTATACGACGAACCAAACGGAGGTTGTCATGATATTCATTTTTCAACAGATTTTACACATTTCAATAATTTTTCATTCAAAATTTTAAATACCAAAATTGGTTTGACAGTTTTTTTGTCCCATCAGCTGTGTCGATGCGACTATCTGTATTATTCTACCATGGCAGTTTCGTAATGTTTAAAAATTGTTGGCAACAAACATGGCCTAAAGGTCGGCCAGTAAGCCCATCTGACAAGTTTGCTGTCAAAAGACATATTAGGTGTGTCTGGTTACCCTAAATTTGTAACAATTGTTGCAAATTGTTACTGGAAGTCGTCTGTTAACACAAAAGTTCTGCAAAAGCGCCGTTCGAGAGAGTTGTTTTCTGAGAACTTGCAAATTTCTTTGTGCAAATATTTGCAATTCTTCTGCATATTTCGGCAAGAAACATTTTTAATTTAAACGTAAGCACAATTTGTTTTTTATTTTTCGATTAATTTTTATTTTTTCGTTCTTGAAAATCAGGTGATCGCTTGCAAGTTTTTGAAGGGATTCCGTCTGTTTACTTTCCGCAGGAGAATAAACTACCTCACTCTCTCAGAAAGAAGTTGGTGGACCATTCCTGCAGAAAAATTACAATTTGACCCAATAAGACTCCTATTATACCACAATTTTCACTTTTTGTTACAAAAGGAGGTAACACATTTTTGCAAATTCTGTTAAAATACACCCTGATGTCATGTCCTCTTTGCGTCAGAATTATTAGAAAAACATCTCAACTCTCGTTTTTTCGCAATTTCCGAACGCTATATCTCTGGAATTATTGATTTCCTAAAACAGAAGAAATGCCGATGTTATGGTAGACATGCGGTAAACATTTTGATTTCATTCCCAAATTTGGCAAACGATTGTTTGTGTTTGCCAAGCCACTTTATTTCTTTCAGTCAACCAAGACAGCATGACACCATAAAGAATCGATAATTCATAAAAAATCGATGACATAAACGAAAATATATCGGGATTTTTTTTATCCCTAGGGGAAGAAGAAGACCTAACTCTGACAGCTACAGCTAAAACGACAAGTTCCAGAACGAGAAAATTTTAAGTTTTCCCCCTAGGTTTTGTGTTTGAAATATATGTAGAAATTAAAAAGGTAACATAGATATTTGACACATTAAAGTTCAACAAGAAACTATGATGGAGACAGCGCCCACCGCTGATTTGGTATATCAGGAATATGTACACTCTTCCACAATCAGAATCCCAAGGAAAAGGAAAAGGCCAACAAATGGCTGGAAGAGTTTCAAAAATCGGTGAGTTAGATCTTTTCTGGGTGGATAAAAGAAAAGTGTATTTATTCTTGAAAATATGTTCTAGATTTACTCCTGGACAATAGCTGATGAATTGCTGCAACAAAAGAGAGATTTGCACTCATGTTACTTTGCTGCCCAGACAATGCGCAACAAAATACAAAATTCTTTTAATGAATTACCATTGAATTCACACGAATCATTAAGGGATTCGTTGATTGCGCACGTAGGACAAATCACCAATGACACGGATACAATTATAGTGACTCAGCTGTGCTTGGCCGTTGCTGATTTGGCCCTTTTAATGGCCTCATGGAAGCAGCCCATAATCGATCTGTTGGATATGCTTTCGCCACAACCTCAATCGGTGTGGCCGCTGTTAGAAATTTTAACCGTGATACCGGAGAAATTGATTCACGATATCTACGCTTGGGGCTAATCGCCGTGAGGAGATTCACAAGCAGCTGGATGCTGCTGCACCCAAAGTCATGGATTTTCTTTGTATGTGTATGCAACAGCATGCCGGTGAAAGTGTTGTTCAAGAGAAAATTGTGAATTCAACATTGCGGTGTATTGCGCATGGGTGGCAATTCAAGCTATTCCACTCCAGCAGGCGGCGCAAAATCCTCTCACTCAGCAAGTATTTCAGTTGCTTAGCATGGAGAATACATCACGTAAATTGCACGATTCATCGACTGAGTGTCTGTGTGCTTTACTGAGCTGCATGGAGGCCAATAGTGGGCGTGACACCCTGGATCCGCCAATTGAAAATGCAAATCTTTAATGCCGTCTTTATGCTAGAAACATCCTACCACACATCGGTGGGCATGGAAGATATCGATAAAATTATGAACTATTGCCAGCATTTTCACTGTGCTCTGTGAAGCATTTTTCTATGAAATGTTTGCCAACGAAGATATACCTCATTATTCCATTAAGGCTTTGGATTTAGTGCTCAATCTGTGTGGGCCATTATGACTACGAAGTGGCGGAAATTACCTTTATAATCTTTGGTATCGTTTGAGTGAGGAGCTCTTTCAGCGGAATAACGATAAGCTGACTTCGCATTTTAAACCACACATAGAACCGATTGCTGGGTGCTTTATATCGTCTGACACAAATGGAACCTGATCAAGAAGGATTGATTGATGAAATGACAGTTTTAATGTGAGTGAGGCTGGGCAGACAAGAAATAAGTTAAGAAATAGTTATTAATTATTAGTTTTGTTCTTTTAGGATTTTCGACGAAAGGTTTCTGATCTAATCAAGGATGTTGCATTTATTGTGGGCTCTGGAAATTGCTTTAAACAAATGTTTTACAAACTCCAGGAGCCCGGCTGTACATGGGAATCAACTGAGTCTGCACTATTTATTATGCAAAATGTAGCCAAAAATATTATACCGTAAGTATGAACCCCACCCCGTGGCGGATCACTTGATTAATGACAACTTATTTTGTTTAGTGATGAAAATGAAGTTATACCCAAGGTTGTGGAGGCAATTATAAATCTTCCCGAAAATACCCACATAGCAGTACGATACACCTCAATTATGTTGCTGGGTGAACTGTGTGACTGGATAGAAAATCATGCAGAAAGTTTACAGGCTGTTTTGATTTTCCTATTGAATTCGTTGCAGCAGAAAAATGGTTTGGCAAGCTGCAGCGGCTATTGCATTGACCTCAATTTGCGCATCGTGCCGCCAGAAAATGATTTATCACATAAGTGGTTTAGTGGAAATAGCTAGAAGTTTAGATAGCTTTGAAATCAGCAACGATTTGGCAATTGGCCTGCTAAAAGGCATATCATTAATACTGTCCCGTCTGCCGAAACAACAGCTGGAAACTGCAATGCGAGAAATCATATCATTCCAGTTCCAGCCCTTGGCCATCATGGTGGAAAGCACTGCAACGGCGCCCATTTGTAAGGGAGAACGTACAGATCCTGCGTATTGGGTGGACAGGGCGTGTGCAGTAATACGTCATACCAATCCTGATGTTAGCGACAATGAAATCCATCCCACATTGAATATACTCACCGAAGCTTGGCCCTTGATATCGCGAGTAATGGATAAATATCAGACAGATGTACGTGTCATGGAACGAACTTGTCGTCTAATACGCTATAGTGTGCGTATGGTGCGTAAACAAGCCTCAATGTTAGTTGAACCTCTCATCCATCAAATGGTCACCTTGTACGCTATGCATCATCACAGTTGCTTCCTGTATTTGGGTTCGGTATTGGTTGATGAGTTTGCCAAGGTTGAGGATTGCATTAATGTGTTATTGGTAATGCTGAAATCGTTTATAGAGCCCACCTTTAAGATGTTGCAAGTAGAGAATGGTTTGAAAAACAATCCGGACACTGTGGATGACTTTTTCCGTTTGTGTTCGCGATTTATTGATTGTTGTCCTTTGCCATTTTTGCAAAGTACGTTGGTAACGCCAATCTTCCAATGTGCCCTACTGGCATGTACTCTGGATCATCGTGAAGCCAATTCATCTGTAATGAAATTCTTTTGTAACTTATTAAAATGGGGACGTAGCAACAACTACAAACTACAGGAATGCAAACCCCTGGTTCGAGAAATAGCCGAGCAGAATGGTGAAGCCTTGGTTATTAACTTGATACAGGCATCAGTGTTTTGTTTGCACTCG